ACAGTCATTCTGACAGACTGTAATACACTACAGGAAGTGTAGGGGGCGATATGGCTTCTACTGTTTCATTTAAAAAGCTCTATAATGTTCATATGATCCACACAGTCATTCTGACAGACTGTAATACACTACAGGAAGTGTAGGGGGCGATATGGCTTCTACTGTTTCATTTAAAAAGCTCTATAATGTTCATATGATCCACACAGTCACTCTGACAGACTGTAATACACTACAGGAAGTGTAGGGGGCGATATGGCTTCTACTGTTTCATTTAAAAAGCTCTATAACGTTCATATGATCCACACAGTCATTCTGACAGACTGTAATACACTACAGGAAGTGAAGTGCATTAGAGAGCAGTTTACTCAAACTATTTAAAAGGTTTTGAAAGTTTTTTTTTAAAGAGGTGATTTTAGGCCTTCTCTTTTTTGGGTTTAACTTCATTCTTTTGTGTTGCTTTCAGCACTTTGGAGCTTTAGCATTTTATTTTAGACCAAAAAAAGAAGAAAAATGTATGGCAAATGTCAGTTTCTATGCTGACAGATGCTGGACTTACTTAGAACTTGAGTACCTGAGATTTTGCTTTGGAAAGGTACTTTTACTTTACTTCATCAAAGTGATACTGCTACACATATTTCTGCTAGAATAACACATTAATAATTTTCCCAGCCAAAATATCTTGAAATGGAAGTATTTAAATGAGAATTTTTCCATGCAGTAACACAACCCACCCCACAGGGGGCAGCATTCCCTTAAAATAGGATTACTTCCCTGGAGCTCTAAAGCACTGGACAGTTTAGTACTTCTCTAGTTTCTGTTTCTTGATCCTGATCCTTCAGACTCAATCATGATGATGCAGAATGTTAATCAAATGTAAATATAATCTATCATGGGACTATTTAGTCACGTTATTATGTTTAAAGTGACAGTGTTAGCTCATTTTGAGCAGAACATACAGTACATGACCAGCAAACACAGGTTTGAACAGCTGTACACACACAATATCACTATATTATTCGTTAAAACACTGAAAAAGTGTTTGATTGCAGAGGATACGCGTTTCGGTAATGACAATTTTAGCTCTTTTTAAACAAAACTCAAAAACGCTAGCCAGGATGTGACTAGCAAACACAGCTATGAACAGCTGTACACACATAAAATCATCATATTTTTCATTAAAACACTTGAGTACATAATGGTAGAGTATATGGAATATAGAATATAGAATATATTTCGGTAATGACAATTTTAGCTCATTTTAGGCAAACCTCAAAAATGCTAGCCAGTACATGAACAGCTGTACACACATAAAATCACCATATTTTTCATTAAAACACTTAAAAGTACATAATTGCAGAAAATATGCATTTCGGTAATGATAATTTTAGCTAATTTTAAGCAAAACTCAAAAACGCCAGCCAGTACTTGACCAGCAAACACAGCTTTGAACAGCTGTACGCACATAAAATCACCATATTTTTCATTAAAACACTAAAAAAGTGCTTAACTGCAGGGAGTATGTGTTTCGGTAATGACAGTTTTAGCTCATTTTAGTAGAACTCAAAAACACTAGTCAGTACATGACTAGTAAACACAGCTTTGAACAGCTCTACACACATAAACTCACCATATTTTTCATTAAAACACTAAAAAGTACATAATGGCAGAAAATGTTTCGGTAATGACAATTTTAGCTCATTTTTAGCAGAACTCGAAAACGCTAGCCAGTACATAACTAGCAAACACAAATGTACACCAATGTACATTAGCAAATGTTTTGTTTTATTACACCAACTGTCACATCAGCAGCAACATATCCAGAGAGGACAGGGCCAGTACAGCTGTCGGACAGTCCGGTCACCACCACAAAACCCCAAACAAAGCGACAAATCCCTCAGTCATTCTGCTGCGGTACATTTATCATCATAGCACTTACTCGCTAACGCTAGCAGGTATGGAATAGCACAAAGACTGTTATACATGGATCGTTCCACTCAGTTAGTCCAAACTGAGCTCCCACAGAAAAATACAAAATAAATAAAAAACAATGACATATTCAGAGCTTAGATACACTATATGGACAAAAGTATTGGGACACCCCTCCTAATTATTAATTTCAGGTGTTAACAGTTGACGAATCACGCTTCTCTATCTGTCAGTCTGATGGACGAGTCTGGGTTTGGCGAATGCCAGGAGAACGTTACCTGCCTGACTGCACTGTGCCAGCTGTAGAGTTTGGTGGAGGAGGGATGATGATATGGGGCTGTTTTTCAGGGGTTGGTCTAGAACCCTTAGTTCCAGTGAAGGGAAACCTTAATGGTTTAGCACCAAGACATTTTAGACAATTATACACTTCCAAATTTGTGGGAACAGTTTGGGGAAGAACCTTTCCTGTTCCAGCATGACTGAGCCCCAGTGCACAAAGCAGCTCCATAAAGGTCTGACTGGGTGAGTTTGGTGTGGAAGAACTTGACTGACCCTCACAGAGCCCTGACCTCAACACCTGAGTATCATGAGTTTATATTTTTAATAACAAAATGCTGTCTCATGTTTTCGTCACCACTGAAACACAGAGTTTTAGTCTATAGGCGGGGCTTATTTTAGCCACGCCCCTGTCTTTTAGAGCAGGAAGTGAGGCTGCATCCCTGTCACTCATGGCCACATGGTGAGCAGTTAGATCCCATTGATTTGAAGTAAATGTGTCCCAAAGTCAGAAAATCAGTTTGGAACATTAAGAATTGACACATTTTCTGTAATTCAGCACTTTTTTAGTGTTTTAATGAACAATATGATGATTTTGTGTGTGTACAGCTCTTCAAAGCTGTGTTTGCTGATTATGTACTGGCTAGCATTTTTGTGTTCTGCTCAAAATGAGCTAAAATTGTCATTACTGAAACATATTTTCTGCCATTAAGTACTTTTTAATAGTGCTTTAATGAAAAACATGATGATTGTGTAAAACTGTTCAAAGCTGTGTTTGCTAGTCACATACTGGCTAGGATTTTTTCTGCTTAAAATGAGTTAAAATTGTCATTACCGAAACAAATAATTTCTGCTATTAAGTACTCTTGTAGTGTTTTAATGAAAAATATGATGATTTTATGTGTGTAGAGCTGTTCAAAGCTGTGTTTGCTAGTCATGTACTGATTAGTGTTTTTGAGTTCAAACTGAAATGAGTTAAAATTGTCATTACCAAAACACATATTTTCTGCCATTAAGTACTTTTTAAGTGTTTTCATAAGAATGTGATGATTTTGTGTGTGTACAGCTGTTTGAAGCTGTGTTTGCTAGTCATGTACATGCTAGCATTTTTGAGTTCTGCTTAAAATGAGCTAAAATTGTCATTACCGAAACACATATTCTCTGCCATTAAGCACTTTTTAGTGTTTTAATGAAAATTACGTTGATTTTATGTGTGTATATATGTACAGCTGTTTAAAGCTGTGTTTGCTGGCCATGCACTGGCTGTGTTTTTGAGCTCAAAATGAGCTAAAATTGTCACTACTGAAACAGTCAGTACTGAAACATTTGGTGTTTCGGTAGTGACAAAATGGAATATTCAGTTGATAGTTTTAATAAAAGAAACTTAATTCAGGTACAGGGTCACTCCAAGTTCAGTTAGAAGTCCAAAATGTTTTTTCAACTCAATGTATAGGAATATAGAATGAATATATTTTAAACTTTGCTAATTCATCTGGAGAACACTCTTAAGGGGGCGCTCTGCGCAAGATAAAACATGTAACCATCGCTACATCTGTCATAAATAAGCCTACTCATCTCCGACAGCGGTGCCGCATTAGCCTCTACAGCTTAATTATCCAGTTTAAAGACAAGGAAACACCCCTTCTGATGACATATCTTGAAGGTGGAAGTGAAAGACTACTGACAGTGACTTTTATTTTGAAGACCAGTTGATGTTAGTGCTAAATAACTAATGCTAGCTAACACCAAATGTTTTTATTAGCCTCTAAATCAGTAACTAGCAGTCGGATTGTTTGGCACCACAGGGATTCCCAATGGTTGTGTTGTATTAGCGTAATGCATGCTGGGTATTGTAGTAAGTGAACACTTATGAACATGAAAACATTATAGCATCGTCGGTGAGGCTAAGGGATACAGTGCTGTGCTACATGATTTAATGCTAATGCCTATTAATTTTTAATGTATATTAATACAACATTTCAGTCATTTTGGACCTTTTTTTATTAATCCATTCATCAAAAAATATTCACACAGTGTAAAGGGCAGCTGCCGTTATCAAACGATGTAAAGAAAATAACAAACTAAAAGAAATTCTACAAGGTTTTGACAAGAAAGCAGGAAAATTTCTACATCACAGATATTAAATGTGCAATAAAATACATTTTCCTGAGCCTTGAATAATAAGGCCCCTACATTTAAAACTAATAAGGAGTATTGCTTTTAATAACAATTAGCACATCGCTATTAGCTTATATACAGCAATACTGATGAGGCACAGACATTAAAAAATACCCCAGCAAAGCTGACCTAGAAAATGTGTTGAACTTTATTAGTCCTGGCCACTTTATCAGAAACCCCTCTCTTGTATCTGGAAGTTGCTGGTTAGAGACTGTAGACATTAGAAACTGGAGCTGGAGTGGACGTACAAGCTGCTTCTAATAAAGTGGCCAGTTAGTGGAAGCACAACATAGGTGTTTCTAATAAAGTGGCCAGTTAGCGGAAGCACAAGGTAGGCGTTTCTAATGAAGTGGCCAGTTAGCGGAAGCACAAGGTAGGTGTTTCTAATAAAGTGGCCAGTATGTGGAAGCACAAGGTAGGTGTTTCTAATAAAGAGGCCACTTAGTGGAAGTACAAGGTAGGTGTTTCTAATAAACACCAGTTTGCAGAAAAAGTGGCCAGGTAGGTGTTTCTAATAAAGGTAGGTGTTTCTAATAAAGTGGCCAGTATGTGGAAGCACAAGGTTGGTGTTTCTAATAAAGTGGCCACTTAGTGGAAGTACAAGGTAGGTGTTTCTAATAAAGTGACCAGTTAGAGTGGAAGTATAAGGTTGGTGTTTCTAATAAAGTGGCCAGATAGTGGAAGCACAGGGTAGGCGTTTCTAATAAAGTGGCCATTTAGAGGAAGTACAAGGTTGGTGTAAGTAATAAAGTATCCAGTTTGCTGGAGTTTTTGGAGTTAAGTAAGAAACACACTGAGAGTTTAAAGGCTTTATGTGTGTTTGTGGGTTGAGGAAGCAGAACCATTTCACCACAGAGTGTTTTTCAGTTGGATATAAAATAATTCATGAAATGCCAAACTAAACCACATCAGTCCTGGACAGATAAGCCACTCTCACCCACTGCAACATGTCTCAACATATCATACAATGCATACATCCAGCCCAGAGGGGGGCGCAAGAGTACCAGTCAAAGGTTTGGACCTATATTTACTAATTTCCACATATTACAACTCATACGGAATTATTCCAGTGAGAAATACCAAACTTTTGACTGGTGCTGTACATCATTCTCTCTCTCTCTCTCTCTCTCTCTCTCTCTCTCTCTCTCTCTCTCTCTTTCATTCACCACAGCATGGGTTCTTTGTGTCTCCTGGGAATGCCTTCCCGCTCCATCCTCTCCAGCTTCCGACACCGCCGGATAGACACAACAGCAATCAGGATGATAATCGTCAGCAGCACAGCGCCCCCAATGGCAACAGCCAGAATTACAATCTCGGAGAAAGAGGCTGAAAAAGAAAGCAGAGAAAAAAAGTGACTCCTCACAACAGATTAAGGCCTATAGGTCCTATGCCTCTGCTAACTGGCCACTTTATTAGAAACGCCTACCTTGAACCTCCATTCACTGACCACTTTATGAGAAACTCTCACCTTGTGCTTCCGCTAACTGGCCACTTTATTAGAAACAGCAACCTTGTGCTTACACTAACCGGCCACTTTATTAGAAACACCTACCTTGTATTTCCACTCACTGGCCACTTTATTGGAAACAGCCACAAGGGAGGGGTTTCTAATTAAGTGGCCAGGAAGTGTGTATCTATGTTATTTTGTTTAGATTTGTTTCACTAGATCAGCGGTTGACCCACCTGAAGTGACCACTCGTAGCCGCACCTCTCCCACGTTTCCGTGGACGTCTGGTGGGTTCTTCACCTGACAGCTGAAGGTTCCGTTATAACTGAACTTGACGTTTCGCACCACGATGGAGGCGTCCCGCGATGAAACATCCCCCGCCCATATCACCTTCTTCAGGAAACGCCCCTCAGATGGAGGGAAGGGCTTGTCATGGTAATAGAACACCTAAAGAATGTAGAACAGAGAGCAGTGACCCTCAATGAGTGGTCATTTCAGGTACAGTAGCACACATGTGTAATAAGAATATATTCATATGTATTATATACATGTAATGACCTATGTTTAATAAAAAAATGCCCATATATATATATATATATCGCTGCTGTCAGAAGAAAATGTTTTTTGAGTTTTTGACATTATTTGAAAATGCCTGTTGGTCTTTACACTGTATGTGAGAGTACCTATACTATATATATATATTAATATATCCCAAGTATATTCTGTCATTATGCGGGTGCGTACAGTCTCCTCCTGTCCGGGGCCCAGAGGCCTGAAGCTCCAGGAGATGGTGAGGGTGGTGCGTCTGATGGGGGCGGAGCTGGAGAAGGTGCACTTCAGCCGAACATCCGTCCCATTCACAGCCTCCACGTTACCAGACGTATAAACACGAATAGCACAGACACCTAGAGAGAGAGAGAGAGAGAGAGAGAGACAGATAAAGATAGGTGGAGAGAGAGTTATACAGAGAGATAGAGAGAGAGAAAGATAGAGTGAGAGTTATAGAGAGAGAGAGAAAGATAGAGTGAGAGTTATATAGAGAGAGAGATAAAGATAGGTAGAGAGAGTTATTCAGAGAGAGAGAGAGAGAGAGAGAGAGAGAGAGAGAGAGAGAGATAGGTAGAGAGAGAGTTATACAGAGAGAGAGAGAGATAAAGATAGTTAGAGAGAGTTATACAGAGAGAGAGAGAGAGAGAGAGAGAGAAATAAAGATAGGTAGAGAGAGAGTTATACAGAGAGAGAGAGAGAGAGAGAGAGAGAGTAAAGAGATCGGGAGGAGAGAGATAGGTAGAGAGAGTTATACAGAGAGAGAGAGAGAGAGAGAGAAATAAAGATAGGTAGAGAGAGAGTTATACAGAGAGAGAGAGAGAGAGAGAGAGAGAGAGATAAAGATAGGTAGAGAGAGTTATACAGAGAGAGAGAGAGAGAGAGAGAGAGAGAGAGAGAGAGAGAGAGAGAGAGATAAAGACAGGTAGAGAGAGTTACATGTATGTCTATTCAGCCTGAGTCAGTTTAGCTCTGCCCATTCACCTCATTCTGAAGTTATAAGGAGTGTTTCAGCCTGGACTGCTTTTGGAATGAGGCGGAACAGAACAGAGCTCATTATTGTAGGTATTGTATGGGATAAAAAGAGGTAATATAAGTATTGTATGGGATAAAGAGAGGTAATGTAAGTATTGTATGGGATAAAGAGAGGTAATGTAAGTATTGTATGGGATAAAGAGAGGTAATGTAAGTATTGTATGGGATAAAGAGAGGTAATGTAAGTATTGTATGGGATAAAGAGAGGTAATGTAAGTATTGTATGGGATAAAGAGAGGTAATGTAAGTATTGTATGGGATAAAGAGGTAATGTAAGTATTGTATGGGATAAAGAGGTAATGTAAGTATTGTATGGGATAAAGAGAGGTATTAAGTATTGTATGGGATAAAGAGAGGTAATGTAAGTATTGTATGGGATAAAGAGAGGTAATGTAAGTATTGTATGGGATAAAGAGAGGTAATATAAGTATTGTATGGGATAAAGAGAGGTAATGTAAGTATTGTATGGGATAAAGAGAGGTAATGTAAGTATTGTATGGGATAAAGAGAGGTAATGTAAGTATTGTATGGGATAAAGAGGGGTAATGTAAGGTATTGTATGGGATAAAGAGGTAATGTAAGTATTGTATGGGATAAAGAGGTAATGTAAGTATTGTATGGGATAAAGAGAGGTAATGTAAGGTATTGTATGGGATAAAGAGGTAATGTAAGTATTGTATGGGATAAAGAGGTAATGTAAGTATTGTATGGGATAAAGAGAGGTAATGTAAGGTATTGTATGGGATAAAGAGAGGTAATGTAAGGTATCGTATGGGATAAAGAGAGGTAATGTAAGTATTGTAATGGATAAAGAGAGGTAATGTAAGTATTGTATGGGATAAAGAGAGGTAATGTAAGTATTGTATGGGATAAAGAAGGTAATGTAAAAATGAATTATGGTTGTTTTGGGTGCACAAAAAAACTCCCTAACATTTAAGGGGACCTGAGGGAAAAGATATACAAGAAAAATGTAGAATATGGGCCCCTTTAAAAAGTCTTAGTTAGACAACAAACCAAACAACAATAACCTACAGTAATTTCAGTCCAGATCATCAGAGTAAGCATAAATATCAGAGGAGGACTCTCAGGGCCTTCTAGGCCTTTGAAGGAGGCCTAATGCTTTCTGGTAAATAGATGTCTGTAATTTTTTAATTATCATAATTATCAAACATTATAGTGATGCTCTTAGTTCACTGTTGAGTTTTGGCTGGAAACAAAAGGGTTTAAAATCAACCAAAAATTATCCAATCAGGATTGTCATCTCGGAGATATCTAGGCAGATACAGCCGAGCAAGCTCTCCCATTGGTTAGGACTTCAGGAGCTGAACAGAAGGCCTAAAACTTTAGATTACCAACATAATTACTCTAGGCCACTATAGTCCTTCTGGAAGTTCTAGAAACATTTCAGTCACTGTAAAACTGTCTGTTACAAGCTTAAATATAAAACACATAACCATGTGTGGTTTTAAAGGGGTGACCGAGGTGGCCAGTGCCCTCCCTGGACTCTGACTGGCCACCGCAGATGCCCCCCCCAATTTTTTTCACATCATCGGCTTCCGCTGTGGGGCAGGTGTTTACACCTTTCAGAGGAGAGGTGGAACAATTCTCCCCACTATAGCCATTAGCTTAGTGCTAACACACTATTAGATATCCTATAGGGGCGCTAGCAGAAATTAGCATTATTATAGAGGTGGGTTTTTTCACGTTTTTTTGAGTTTTGACATTTATGGCCCGAACTGAAGGCCGAGCTCTAACAGTCCCAGTTCTTCACTGAAATATAGAACACTGTAACTCATACTAAGGGTGGATCTGACCTATTACGCTCTGTATGATCCAGGTTTTTAATAATAGGCCGTGTGGGAGTTGTGGTGAAGCAGGAACCCATTTTCTCTTATCAGAGAACATTTTACTTCCTAACTCCACCAGAGTCACGGTACGATACATAAACACCACCCTGTTATCGCCATCAGGACATCCTCAGAACCCTGATGAGCTTTAAATGAGGTTTTACCCTACAGGAGCAGGTTGTTTTGTCTAGATTATGTTTTTGTAAATCATCAAAAGATGTGATTTGTCTGAGTAGCACTATGTTACAGTGTCCTAAGTTAACCTGCTATGCACTTTAGAAACACACTTAAAAATGATGGTTCTTTAAGGGCTCTTTAGTAAAGAAAATGGCTCTGTATAGAACCATGAGCACTTAACAAACTCTTTGCATGCTTAAAGGGTTCATTGGAGAACGTGCTGTAGATGGTTCTATATAGAATCTTTTGGAAAATGGTTCTATATAGCATCAAAAAGGGTTCTTCTATTGCAACAAGCCTGACATCGTAACAATAGAAGACACACACAGGGTCTGTTTCTCTCTTTACGTTGTTAGCAGTGGCTTCCTCTTCTGACTCAGGGAGTTAGACTGAGTCGTGTCTGTATGAGCATATCTGAGTGTGTGTGAATGTAATGGAGCTTTGAACACAAACCAGAACACCGCAGTGCTCTTCCCTTAATAGTCCATCATAACAGAGATGGCTCAGGGAGCAGAGAGAGAGGCTAAATTGATTGTATGGCAAACAAAATGTAAAACTGTCTTTGTGAGGCTCCTGCATCCATCTGAGTCAGCAACATGGCTCTTTTACTGCCCCGTTGTGGCTCCACAGCCCCATTAGTTTAGTAGGTAAAAATAAAATAATCCTCCTTTACAGTAAAATAAAGCTCTGCTGATCGTTCAACACAGTTTAACAATAAATGGTCTTAAACTCTGGAGTTAATGTAGAACTGCTGATTCACCCTTTAACCCTGAAGATCAGCGCAGACTGCTGGTCACCATAGCAACACAGACAACTATCTCGCCTAGCCTACGAAACGTCAAAGAGAGAGATTTAAGACGGACATCGATAATTTGGAGATGAATGGACTTATTTGTGTTTATAATCACTCCAGCTGGTTTCCTGATATGTTTAATCTGCAACAAGAAACTGTCAAACACTAAAAAGTCACGAGGCTGAAGTTTCTCATTCACCAGCTTCTTGTTTGAATTTTCCCGTTCCACCTTAAATGGTGCAGCAGTTACATTCTTCTCATTTAGGGTGGAACGGGAAAATTCGAACAGCAAGCTGGTGAATGAGAAGGGACTACAGAGAGACGTTTTATTAGAAACTTTTCTAGAAAAGTTTCCTGCTGGAGATGCGAGAAAAGCAGCTCTAGCTGATCTAAAGCTTAAAGCAGAGCAAAGTAAGTCTGTGTTTTTGTTTATATTTTTAGTTTTATTAAGTTTATACTAGTACATTTGTACATACTGAGACATATTTACAGCCAAGATGGTAAAACTTTACTTCCATAAATTGAACATAAAATGTGGCTCCGAAGGTGGTTTGATTTTTGTTGAAAGGACTAAATGGCTCTTCTTGATGTTTGGGTTGCGACCGCTGGTCTAAGTGTTGGCCTTGTCTATGGGAGGTTGTGAGTTTGATCCCCAGTGATGCCACAGCCGTCCGTAAACGTTATTGAGTTATCGATTGTTTGTTAGCTGTGTAACAGAATTAGCAGTTGGCGTTGGTGTTGGCCTGAATTAGCAGCAGTTAGAAAAGACAGCAGAGCTTCATGTGACTCATTAAGCTCATGCTAGGCTTCACTATTCTAGTTTTTAGGGGGGATCTAGCCGGTGGGAAAATTCCAAAGACCCCAAATTAGTTGATTAGCCAAGACATGTTTGGTGTCAGAAGTTTGCTTCTGTAGTTTTGCACTGGAGCTACAAGGCTAATGGAGCTAACAAGTGATGGAAGCTTACCACACACATTAGCATTGCGCTAACTGCATATCTAAATCATCACACATTTACCTACAAAAATGGACAAATTTACAGATAAAGTTCAGGCCTCAAGGATAAAAACAGCTACTCCTGCTTTAGCTATGCTACGTCATGGTCTGTTTGTAGATAGCAGTATGGCGTACAGGGTCAACAAGGAGGTTCTATAGGAGATTAATAAACAACTCAACATGATCATTTAGGCCTTCAGTTAGCACCATATTAATTAGTGGGGGACAAGTTTCCATTACATTGGCACCGTAGCTGCAGTGCAAAACTCAAGAAGCACCAAACACATCTTGGCTGATTGGCTACATCTGACAAACTGTCGCTTTAAGGGTTTTAACACTGATTTGAAACATCCATTCATTTGTAAACAGGCTGTTAAAATGATCCTCCGTTCACAACCAGAAGCTGCTTTTTGTTCCAGTGTTGTGACTTTTCAAAATAAACCCCTGTGTCTAATTGATCATTAACTCTAATTAATATTCAGTGGGTAGTAATGAATATTCATAGGCTTCT